ATGTGCGGAAAAGCTGTACTATTGCATTTCTTTATCAATCTTTAGTCAGTCAAATTTGCCTGCTGAAACTGATTTAGGTTTGTTCTTATGAATCTTAGTTTAATATAAGTCTCTAAGTTATATACTTTCTCAGTAAATTCCTCTGCATCGTCCTTTAGCAATGAAGTCTTGATCTAATGACATAAAAGAATATATTATATTTGCGTTTAAATGTCTGTTTGTAAATGACATTTTACAAATGAAAATTTTCGAGTTTAAACCTATTATAGAATAGTTTGGGAAAACAGAATGGTATGTCAAATTCATTGCTTTCTAGGCTCAAATGCACCAGTTTATAGTCCATTAACATTTTGATGAACCATGTGGACATTAATGATGAATGCACAGCACAATCTTTCACACTTCATCTTTGGAGGAACAAATGATTACAATTTACAGCGGTGGAAAACAACACATGCCGTGAAAACATTTGGTCTCAATTTATCCAAAATTTGTTGCTCATTCATTCTGGAAAACCTTTTGGACACTAAACGTACATTTCACGTTTCAAGTTTCAACTTCCATTGTATAGATATACAAGTCAACAGCGGTAACCAGCATGCATTTAATCACCTCCCGAAACACCTCATGACTGAAGAGATAAGAGCAGAAGAGAGAAATTTCAGCCCAGCAGATCCACCAGGGAAATAAGAAATAGCATAGTATGCAAGGGCAAGAACCTACAAAGTACGTGGAAACAGAGAAGCTTTGGTTACAACTAAATACAAACTGGATTTCATGCATGCACTAAGCCAGATTTATGTCTCATCTAAAAAAGCAACATTTTAAGCTTAAAGTAAAACAGCTTAGTTCTGAGCATGTTTTAATCAAATAGCTCTTAATGAGACCAGCTTAACAAATAACTCCACAACCCTAAATTAAGAAGCACAGCAGACTGTTGGGGTTCTTAAGAAGAAATATGTACATAAATTTCTCTATAATCTCTTCTTACAAATAAAAGGCAAGAGATTGTATGAGTTCCAATCTTAAATTAAGAAAAAGGATCAGAGTTCTGGAAAATCAATGGGGAAGTAATAGTTAATAACTACATTATGGATGTTCAGAAAATAAGCATGAAGTTGAACAAAAGAAGTGAAACGAGGATACCTGTAAAACAGAAAATAGCACAGAGAAAATGTAGCTATGAAGCACCATGGAAACATATATTGTACCCACCATACTCCCAATGAATCCCAATGTGAAAGGAAGCCTCTGGATAAACAATGGATAACAGAAATGAGGAGAAGAAGTTAGATAAAAGCCATTAAAGTAGTTAGCATTATCTTCAAAATGAATATATGAATAAATACCTCTTTTGATGACATGTGGGCAAGCTGATTCTTTGGACCTCGGAGAGCAAAGAATGATGCAATGATAAGGCCACATCCAAGGGTAAAGCAGATGGCAAATTTCTGAGGCATTAACACCATGACTGGGAGAAACAGGGTAAAAGCAATGAAAACAAAGAAGAACCCAGTTGCAAGAAATAAACCAAAATACAGAAGTGCTCTCCCTGAAGGAACATTACTGGTGGCAGACTGCAGGTTCCCAGGTATATCTCTCACTCCTTTTGAAACCCTGAAATGGTCAGGACCAAGATTAACTTGTATTTTCTTCCACCACCAGTAAAATATCATCCATAATTCAGAAATATGTTACTTTATCCTTTTTCCTGCAATAACTTTTTTTTTTTTTATTTTTTATTTGTTGCCCAATTGGATATTTTTTCTTGCCACCTTAGGTTATCAAATTCACAATGCAAGCAGTGTTAGCACATCTCAACGATAAGGAAGAAAACAATAACTGTTGCCATTTGCAAGTCTGCCTCAGCTGTGAACTAAACAGAGTATGAATAGTTCAATTGCTTCGTTCCTCCATACAACAGAGATATAGGGAACAAAAGTCAACTTGATTGCACTGTGCTAAAAGGCATGATGAGGCCTCTAATCTTAAAAAACTGAATTCCCGCATTCAAACTCATCTATATGTAAAAAGACACTGAGATAAATGACAATATGCAATGAAGAAAAGTGATTGACCAAGACATGAACATAAAGCGTTGCTTAGGTATGCCATAAACAAAGTAATCTGCTTCTTGACTAAATATTTTACAGATACATGTAGGCTGTTGCTCATCCTCAGATTCAACAACACACATCAACCGCATATGTATATGTGAAATCAAATTAACCTAAAAATTGTATGACCTTAAGGACTACAGCTTAAAAATAAATTACCATTATGAGATATACTTAAAACACATACAGAGAGCTATACCAGATGCAACGGTAGATCTGTTTCTATGTGGGTATAGACACCAATTGCAATAGCACAAAACAGAAAGCAGAGTCTGGATCTAAATTAGTGTACTCCAAAGACCCCTAAAATGATAGAGCCTGAGTACCTCAAATCAAATAAATTTTCATCCAATTTACATAGAAATTATTCATTTACAGCCACATGATATCCACTGCCCAGTGCCCATCACCAAAGTCACCAATATAAACCAAATAAAAAATAAATAAATAAATCACAAAAATTTTCCAAGATTAGGGAGAAGATGATGCATACACATTGAAGGTGCCAGTGACAGTATCATTGGCAGATCGCACTGCAGACTCAATATCGAACCCAAATGCACCCGTGCCCGTGCCCGTGCCCCCCTCTTCTACGTCTCTTGATGCAGCGTAGGAGTTCCATTCTGCCAACAGAGACGATCCAGCCTTGGGTTGCTCTTCGGCGCCGCCAGAAAACAAGCCTTGCATTTCTCCTTTTCTGGGCGATCCAACAGCTCCAATACCTTCTTTTCTTGGACTTGGATTTACAGTTATGAGCTTTGATCTTTCTCCTTCCTCTAGCTGGGAAGGAATAGCCCAGATAGTCACAATTGGCAATGGTAGGAGATAGGAGTTAAAACCATGGCCATGTCCATAACGTCCGTCAGTTTTGGTGGAAGATACAACTCACTTCCCCTGTTTGTTTGAAATGACACTACTGCTTCAAAGTTTTGGCAAAAACGTAATTAGCTTCTCCCTTGTCAAGTTGAAGGTGTTAGCTTTTACCTTATATTATAATACTATTAGCCCCTCAACTTATTAAATTTGTAGATTTCAACTTATCACTTATTAAAATCAAAGAAAATAACTCTTACTTTATACTGATTATTAACTCTGTTAGTTGAAAGTAAATTTTTATCAACTAACAGTCAATTAATAATCAATTAATAGTTAATTAACAGAATTAATGAAATACTATAAAGTTAGTTTTGTTAACTCTGTTAGCTGAAAGAAGGTTTTTAACAACTAACAGTCAGCTAACAAAACTAACAAAATGTTATAAAGTAAGGGTTATTTTTTTAATTTTAATAGGTGAGGGCTAAAAGTGTTATAATATAAGATGAGATACTAAGATTTACAAATTTAATAACGTGAGGTGTTAAAATGTCATAATATAAGGTAAATGGTTAAAACCTTTAAACTTAGTAAAATGAGGGGTTAAAAGTAGACTTTTACCCAAAATTTTTCCAAGTTATGCAACTAGGTCCTAAAATGGAACTATGCCTTAGTGCTTGGGCTAATCTATATCTAATGCCTAATGAATGAATGAATGAGTATAAAGCCTTCTATAGGCTTTTCAATTCCCCTTCTTTATTCCTTTTATCTCTCTCTTAGTAGGGATGGTAATTTGTCCAGCCTTGGGGACCCGCGCCATGGGGATGGGGCAGGGAGGAATAAACATTTTCCCTTCGTGAAATTTTGTGGAGAATTTTTTCCACCCTACGGGGATTCTCATCCCCGCAAAAATTACAAAAATATGTAAATTAATTTTATTTTAAATTTAATTCGATCTGCAAACCCAAATCTAATCCAATAAAAATTAAATTTAACCCAATTTTATCCAATCCAACCCATAAAATTTAACCCAACCCATCATCAATAAGTTTATTGATTTAGTTATTTATGTTGAATTGATCTTTATTTATTTGGACAATTTATATTTGATTTTATATTTAAAGAATTTTAGTTAATTGTACTTGAAATTTTAGAATTTTATTCATTATAATTGAATATTAATTAATTATATATAAAAAAATTTGTATTTTAATATTAATTGGTGGAAAATCCCCATGGGAAACGAGGATGGAGGGCAAAATCTGTCCCTCGTCAAAAATCCTTGTGAGGATCCTCATCCTCGTCATTCATAAGGATGGGGATAGGATGGGGATAGGGAGGGACTCCCCGACCCTGTGGGGTCTCGTTGACATTCTTATCTCTTAGGTTGGCCTTATTATAATTTATTTTATTATTATCATTATTTCGTAAATTATTATTTATAATAAAAAAGACTCTTAATGTTATATCATTGTAATCTATATTATTTATTTTATGATCCATAAGCATTTTATTTAAAAAGTATATATTGTCTAATGAGTTGAGAGATGTAATGAAAATTGGAGGAATTTAATATTTGGCAACCATTGATGCCCATAATGGAGTAGATACTCTCAGAACTCATTAGTTAGTGGTTTGAACTAGTACTTTGGTTGGGACTTGTGAGAGACTATATTTGTCTGGTGACCACCAGACTTTGTTTTTTGAGTCATTGATGGGTAAGGAATGAAAATAGCAATGAAAATTAAAGAAGATTGAAAGTTATGATATTCTTCCCTGCAGCAGCTGTAGCTTTGCTATAGTTCCAAGTGAAAAGATCCCCATGGATCTCAACTTACTATTTTGATTGTTAGGCATTTCATTTGATAGACTGCTCTTGTTTCTCAACATTACGAATTCATAATTATTTACTTTGATCACTAATTTACAAAGTGACATACGTACATGATTCTTCACATGATATGGGCTTTTACAATCAGCAATTGAATTTGTTTTATGTTGTGACAGCAGGTCCATGGAAGAAAGGCAAAGTACAAGGATATAAATACAAAAACAAACTCATATTATTTTCAAGAGCTGCACCTCAAAAACCAGAGGCTCATTTGCATGAGATAAGAGGCTACGGCGAGGACCAAACTGCAATAAAACCATCAATGGAACAAAATTATTAAGCTTTACCAGAGATTTAACCTCTGCTTTTCTTTCACCAGAATAAATTAATCTCTAAAAAGTAATAAACAACCACCAAGAGATTAAGCAAAAGGTTCTTCAAACAGCCAGGAGAACAGAAAAGAAAACTAAGGACATGGAAAAAGAAGTGTGATACAGAAATATGGTGATTGGGTTCCATCACTTGAAGAAAATGTAATCAAGTTTCATGGACAATGAAGTTTAGAGAGCAAACCTCTTCAGGAATTGGTTTCAAGTTTTCATTTGTATATCCAACCGAAGGAGGTATTAATGCTCTTCGTTTTCCTGAAAAGTGAAACACAAACAATGGAAGTAAAGTAAGTTTTTATACAACAGCTGGATCAAACATTAAGAAAGGCCTAGGAATTGGAGTAGTACAGTCCAAGCAGAGCAGTTAAGTAAATAGATACACGCTTGAAGTCATATAAAAAGTAATACAGAAATTCCAGATTGTATCACACCAAGATGTACCTCCAACTCTCATTCCTATCAACACCTCCTTTAGGCCTCTTATAATCTGAAAAGAAATTTAAGAAACCATACTTAAAGATAAAATAGTGACTCAATACAAATCCTAATTGCTGCTGAATTCAAAAGAATGAGAAACAATGAAGATTCATTTTCACAAATGAATAGTAGGATAGAGATGGCCTCCACAAACGTCCAATTTATCTTGTAAGTTAAATTATCATTGTCATTTGTTAGAGTAGAATGAAAGAATGCTTCACCTGGTTCTCATCCAAAGGTAGTATGATAGGAGAGCTTTCTCCACTGAATTGATCCACAGTACTGCATTGTGGTGAAGGAAGTGTCTCAGAAAAGTGGTCCATTTAACGGATAAACAGAAGATGCATGGTTGGACATGTTAGTGTAAAACCAAAAATAGTTGTCCACAGTTTGAATTGCTTTGCTTGAAAGTGGGGATTTCTCAATCAAGGTGGTCACTCTTTGTAGCAGTTTCTGAGAATGGTAAACATAATACACAAATTACCTATGAACAAAATATCCATTTGAGCGTCGGCATACATAGTTTACTTCCACAGAGTCTCCTTCATGAGCTTCTGCTCCATCCCCTTCAACAATCTCTAGAATTAAACATTAGAAAGTGAGCATGCTAATTATCTGTTATATTGATTTATGGCATATAGACTGATGGTACCATCTCTATAAAATTTAGGAAAAAGCATATACTAATCATGTGGTTAAGAACTTAACTTCCCCCACAATGAATCATCTTTCCCCAGGAAAAAGTCCGTTCAGCTAACAAGCAATCTTATATACAACTATAATCATCTAACAAACTGTATTCTACAATGCCTTATGGGTTAAGATCAGATCAAGATGTCTACATAAACAAAAAACAAAAAAGAGAATTATAGTTCATTTGGTATGCTTATGTGAAATTTGAGGATTTATACCTTGAATTCTCACCCCACTGGGAAGCTTCAATGTCCTGGAGACTTCAAATTCCAAATGAGAACTTTCAATGAGAATTATTGAAGATTACTGCAAAGAGGAAGGTCAAATTAACTTTCTCTTTTCTAAGCTAAAGAAAAGATGATCAAAGCACCTAACTATGTCAGGTTCCTTCATGTCAGGTGGCACTGGAGCAGCAAAGAGAGGACAATTGCATGATAACAAGTGATTCAATCCAATAAACTGCAAAAGCAGCCTCCTAGGGAGCGTTCTGACTGTTATTGAAGGGTAGCTACCACGCAAACGCTTCCTCACAACACCCTTGGACCTTCCACTGTAAGATTAGAATTTACAGCACGGGTTAATAATTGCATGATGATAGCATTGTCTATGCAGAACCATGCTGGGTTTATTGAATGCCTTAAGAACCCTGATTACAAATCCCTCAGATTTCCAGCAATTCCATATCCTAATTATTCCACTTCTGATTCTTCTTCAACATCGAAATACTAACTTGATGGATAAAGAGACAGACTTTTTTGTTTCCCAGCACCACATATTACATCTAACTATCTAAAATCACAAACTTTTCATGGGGTTGGTGATTTGGGTTTCATACAGACAGAACTATGAACAAATACATGGAATGCCCATAAACTACAACGTGTACAAGAAATTAGAACAATGAGAAAAGTTGAAAAAAAGAAGAAGATTAGAGGGAAGACTTACCTTTGAGATCTGAAACTCCATGATAATTGAGCAAAGCTATGAAATTGAAATGAAAGAACTTGCATGGTCTGTCTCTCAAAGACTCCCAAATGGATAAGTAGCCAAGAGAGGGATGAGATATGGTAGTTAGATTAGTATCTATCTATCCCAAAAATGAAAAAGAGAGTGTTTGGCGGTCATGGTTACAGGACCATATTTTTATTAGAGACACAAAATTGTTAAAATTTTATTTTCATTTAATTGTTAAAAATAAATAACAATTAATAAAAAAATTAATATTTATTTATTAATATATTAAAATTAATTTATAAATATATATTTTTAAATATTATGATTAATTATTTAAAAATTATAAGTAATAAAATTATGGATAAAATTAATATTTTTTTTTTTAAAAAAAAAACAAGCAATAGACTTGGCGAAAAAAGTTAGTGGCTATAATCTTAACTTTATTTGGCAAAACTTAAAAATATTTGTTTAAAAAATAAAATTTTCTCACATAAATTTAAAATATTATAAAAAATAAATTCAAAAATTGATGTTTTGAAATAAATTTAAAAAAATATATATCTAATTTTTTTTAAAACTTATTTAAAATCACTTTTAAGAATAATTTTTACATTTTCCCCTAATAAAATTTTTAAATTTGTATAAACAAAAATTTACTTCTAAGCCATGGGTTTTTTAAACTAGCCCAAATGCCCACAAAAACTTATCAGCCAAAGAAAATAAATTTAACACATATTTTTTAAAAAAAAGGGAAATTTAAAAGACACCAACGTGGCAGCATCTTATGAAGAGTCCGTCCCACTCCAAGTATCGGAAGCATAACCCTTTAAAAGCAGTTTTAATATTACTAATTATTTTTAGGAATTAAAGAAAATAATAAAAGGAAACTCCTTTAGAAGGATCTAGAAACCAAAACCCTATAAAACCATACTCTTCTGCATTCTGCCGCACCCTTCTGTGCTCTGTATTGCTCCCCTCAAAAACCCTAGAATTCTCTTCTTCGCTGTTGGTGTCTTGTTGAGAGCGGCATAATCAATGGCGGAGAGTGAGACGTTTGCTTTCCAGGCTGAGATCAACCAGTTGCTCAGCTTGATCATCAACACCTTCTACAGCAACAAGGAGATCTTCCTTCGTGAGCTTATCAGCAATGCCTCCGATGTATGCATTTTCTTTCTCTCTCGTACTTACTTCGTTTCTTCACTGTAAAGCCATGTTTTAGTTGTGATGCTGCTTTGTGTTTCATGTTTAACCGTTGGCGTAGTTCTAGATCCGTGGTTTCTGCGTGCTTTTGAGGTTTATTGGATTCTGGGTTTCTGTTTTTATGCTCAAGTCATGGACTTTTTTGAAAATTTTTGAGGCTTATTAAAAAAAAGGGAAGAACGTAAGCTGTATTAATTTATCGGTTGTTATTTTTGCTGTGTGGTGGAAGTGAACCCATTACGTGGGTGCATAAGGGTGGCTAGTGATGATCCTGCTTTGGCCGGTCTGCCTGATTAAAGGTCTAGCTAGGAGTGAGTATTGCTGAGGATGGATTTAGATTTATATCATGTTTAATGTTAAATTATTTTGTTGATGCTATGATTCTGTATTCTTTGTACTTTTTGGGTTAATCTCATTTTAATTAAAAGTGTGAATAAAATAGTATTGCCGTATCTTTCAACTGTGGGGATGGTTCTCAGCATGGTGAATATTTTTAAATACTGTTGTTTTTTCTTTGGGTTATGGTGGAAGGAGAATCTAAGTATAGCCTAATGATATTGTTACTGTTAGTTCTTTTTATATTTTCTAAAGCATGTAGAATGAATATATTAAGTAATGTATGGTGTGCTGATGCCAGGCTCTGGACAAAATTAGATTTGAGAGCTTGACAGACAAGAGCAAGCTAGATGCCCAGCCTGAGCTCTTCATCCACATCATCCCTGACAAGGCCAATAACTCTTTGTCTATCATTGACGGTGGTATCGGTATGACCAAGGCTGGTAAGTACATGACTGTTTATCAGTACAATATTTGATTGTGCGGG